GGTTCTCGTGCGTGTTGGGGTCGAAGAAGCCCTTGGTGTCGTCGCTCGGGTCGGCCAGCACGCGGTTCATCTCCTCGTCGAAGTAGCCGCGCTGGTAGGCCACGTCCACGGGCAGCCGGTGGCTGTGCACCGGGTCGATGATGCCGCCCGTGGCGACCTGGGCCTCCAGCAGGCGGATGCCGTGGTCGCGCACGATGAGCTCCTTCTGCATGGCCTGGAAGAGCGAGATCTGCTCGCCGGTGTAGGGGTCGGTGTAGCCGGTGACGGCGCGCTCGGCCGACAGCAGCTTGTCCTGGATCTCGCCGCCCACCAGGCCCGCGGCCACCGCCTCCTCCACGGTGAGCCCCTGGTTGCGCACGGGGTCGATGAGGAAGCCCGTGGCCGCCTGCGCCTCGAGCAGCACCAGGGCCGTGCCGGGCCGCAGGACGCCCTTCCACATGGCCTGGTAGACGCTCATCTTCTCCTGCCGCCCGGGCTCGTCCTTGGCGGGCACCAGCACGCCCGCGATGCAGCTCGTGCCGCGCAGGTAGCGCTTGACCGAGTCCATCTCGGTCACCTCCTGCGGGGTCTTGGTGCCCTGGGCCAGGTCGCGCAGGGTCTCGGGGCCCAGGATCCCGGACGAGCGCAGCTCGGAGGCCGACACCTGGCGCCGCAGGCCGCGGAAGGTCACCTTGCTCAGCCGCTCCTCCGCCTCCTCCACCGCCCGGGTGAGGATGGCCACCAGGCCCGGCAGCGCCAGGGCGCCGGCCGCGTGCTGGGCCAGGAGCTCGTCCCGCCGGGCCCGGCTCAGGTAGGAGGAGAAGAGGACGTCCCACACGGAGGGCCGCTGCCCGCGCAACGGCCCGGCCTGCACCTCCATGGTGGCGGCACGCAGGGCCTGCTCCTGGGGGCCGCCGGCGGGCTCGGTGGCCGCCTCGCCGGGGGAGGGTCCCGCGCCCCTGCCGCCGTCGCTGCCGCCGGGCCCGGCCGGCCGCGGCTCCTGCTGGACGCCGGCGGCGTCGCCCGGGGCGCGCTCGGGCCCGCCGGCCGCCTCCACCTCCTCGATGATGGTGGTCAGCCTGCGGGTCAGCGCGGCCAAGCCCAGCGCCCCCGAGCCGAACCCGGCCAGCAGCTGCTCCCGCGTGGCGCCGCTCACGTAGCTGGACGCCAGCACGTCCCACACGGGCACCGCCGGCCCCCGCAGGCGGCCCAGCTTGACCTCCATGGTGGCGGCACGCAGGGCCCCTCGGGGGTCCGGGGGGCGCGCGCCCGGGCTCGCGGGGTCGCGACGGGCCAGCAGCGCGGTGAGGGCGGCGCCCACCTCGTGCGCGGTCAGCGAGCCCGCCCGGTACCTGCGCAGCAGGTCCTGCCGCTCGCCCTCGGGCACCTCCCGGTAGAAGAGGAGCTCCCAGACCGAGACGCTCTGGCCCTGGGCGACGCCCGGGCCCGGCGCCACGCGGGCGTCACGCAGGGCGCCGCGCAGCTCCTCGCTCAGCTGGTGCACGGCGGAGCCCCCGCGGCCAGCTGCAGCATGTAGAGCCCCGTGTCGGGGTCGAGCACGCAGCGGCGCAGCAGCTGCACGTACGTGAGGTTCTCGTGCGTGTTGGGGTCGAAGAAGCCCTTGGTGTCGTCGCTCGGGTCGGCCAGCACGCGGTTCATCTCCTCGTCGAAGTAGCCGCGCTGGTAGGCCACGTCCACGGGCAGCCGGTGGCTGTGCACCGGGTCGATGATGCCGCCCGTGGCGACCTGGGCCTCCAGCAGGCGGATGCCGTGGTCGCGCACGATGAGCTCCTTCTGCATGGCCTGGAAGAGCGAGATCTGCTCGCCGGTGTAGGGGTCGGTGTAGCCGGTGACGGCGCGCTCGGCCGACAGCAGCTTGTCCTGGATCTCGCCGCCCACCAGGCCCGCGGCCACCGCCTCCTCCACGGTGAGCCCCTGGTTGCGCACGGGGTCGATGAGGAAGCCCGTGGCCGCCTGCGCCTCGAGCAGCACCAGGGCCGTGCCGGGCCGCAGGACGCCCTTCCACATGGCCTGGTAGACGCTCATCTTCTCCTGCCGCCCGGGCTCGTCCTTGGCGGGCACCAGCACGCCCGCGATGCAGCTCGTGCCGCGCAGGTAGCGCTTGACCGAGTCCATCTCGGTCACCTCCTGCGGGGTCTTGGTGCCCTGGGCCAGGTCGCGCAGGGTCTCGGGGCCCAGGATCCCGGACGAGCGCAGCTCGGAGGCCGACACCTGGCGCCGCAGGCCGCGGAAGGTCACCTTGCTCAGCCGCTCCTCCGCCTCCTCCACCGCCCGGGTGAGGATGGCCACCAGGCCCGGCAGCGCCAGGGCGCCGGCCGCGTGCTGGGCCAGGAGCTCGTCCCGCCGGGCCCGGCTCAGGTAGGAGGAGAAGAGGACGTCCCACACGGAGGGCCGCTGCCCGCGCAACGGCCCGGCCTGCACCTCCATGGTGGCGGCACGCAGGGCCTGCTCCTGGGGGCCGCCGGCGGGCTCGGTGGCCGCCTCGCCGGGGGAGGGTCCCGCGCCCCTGCCGCCGTCGCTGCCGCCGGGCCCGGCCGGCCGCGGCTCCTGCTGGACGCCGGCGGCGTCGCCCGGGGCGCGCTCGGGCCCGCCGGCCGCCTCCACCTCCTCGATGATGGTGGTCAGCCTGCGGGTCAGCGCGGCCAAGCCCAGCGCCCCCGAGCCGAACCCGGCCAGCAGCTGCTCCCGCGTGGCGCCGCTCACGTAGCTGGACGCCAGCACGTCCCACACGGGCACCGCCGGCCCCGCAGGCGGCCCAGCTTGACCTCCATGGTGGCGGCACGCAGGGCCCCTCGGGGGTCCGGGGGGCGCGCGCCCGGGCTCGCGGGGTCGCGACGGGCCAGCAGCGCGGTGAGGGCGGCGCCCACCTCGTGCGCGGTCAGCGAGCCCGCCCGGTACCTGCGCAGCAGGTCCTGCCGCTCGCCCTCGGGCACCTCCCGGTAGAAGAGGAGCTCCCAGACCGAGACGCTCTGGCCCTGGGCGACGCCCGGGCCCGGCGCCACGCGGGCGTCACGCAGGGCGCCGCGCAGCTCCTCGCTCAGCTGGTGCACGGCGGAGCCCCCGCGGCCAGCTGCAGCATGTAGAGCCCCGTGTCGGGGTCGAGCACGCAGCGGCGCAGCAGCTGCACGTACGTGAGGTTCTCGTGCGTGTTGGGGTCGAAGAAGCCCTTGGTGTCGTCGCTCGGGTCGGCCAGCACGCGGTTCATCTCCTCGTCGAAGTAGCCGCGCTGGTAGGCCACGTCCACGGGCAGCCGGTGGCTGTGCACCGGGTCGATGATGCCGCCCGTGGCGACCTGGGCCTCCAGCAGGCGGATGCCGTGGTCGCGCACGATGAGCTCCTTCTGCATGGCCTGGAAGAGCGAGATCTGCTCGCCGGTGTAGGGGTCGGTGTAGCCGGTGACGGCGCGCTCGGCCGACAGCAGCTTGTCCTGGATCTCGCCGCCCACCAGGCCCGCGGCCACCGCCTCCTCCACGGTGAGCCCCTGGTTGCGCACGGGGTCGATGAGGAAGCCCGTGGCCGCCTGCGCCTCGAGCAGCACCAGGGCCGTGCCGGGCCGCAGGACGCCCTTCCACATGGCCTGGTAGACGCTCATCTTCTCCTGCCGCCCGGGCTCGTCCTTGGCGGGCACCAGCACGCCCGCGATGCAGCTCGTGCCGCGCAGGTAGCGCTTGACCGAGTCCATCTCGGTCACCTCCTGCGGGGTCTTGGTGCCCTGGGCCAGGTCGCGCAGGGTCTCGGGGCCCAGGATCCCGGACGAGCGCAGCTCGGAGGCCGACACCTGGCGCCGCAGGCCGCGGAAGGTCACCTTGCTCAGCCGCTCCTCCGCCTCCTCCACCGCCCGGGTGAGGATGGCCACCAGGCCCGGCAGCGCCAGGGCGCCGGCCGCGTGCTGGGCCAGGAGCTCGTCCCGCCGGGCCCGGCTCAGGTAGGAGGAGAAGAGGACGTCCCACACGGAGGGCCGCTGCCCGCGCAACGGCCCGGCCTGCACCTCCATGGTGGCGGCACGCAGGGCCTGCTCCTGGGGGCCGCCGGCGGGCTCGGTGGCCGCCTCGCCGGGGGAGGGTCCCGCGCCCCTGCCGCCGTCGCTGCCGCCGGGCCCGGCCGGCCGCGGCTCCTGCTGGACGCCGGCGGCGTCGCCCGGGGCGCGCTCGGGCCCGCCGGCCGCCTCCACCTCCTCGATGATGGTGGTCAGCCTGCGGGTCAGCGCGGCCAAGCCCAGCGCCCCCGAGCCGAACCCGGCCAGCAGCTGCTCCCGCGTGGCGCCGCTCACGTAGCTGGACGCCAGCACGTCCCACACGGGCACCGCCGGCCCCCGCAGGCGGCCCAGCTTGACCTCCATGGTGGCGGCACGCAGGGCCCCTCGGGGGTCCGGGGGGCGCGCGCCCGGGCTCGCGGGGTCGCGACGGGCCAGCAGCGCGGTGAGGGCGGCGCCCACCTCGTGCGCGGTCAGCGAGCCCGCCCGGTACCTGCGCAGCAGGTCCTGCCGCTCGCCCTCGGGCACCTCCCGGTAGAAGAGGAGCTCCCAGACCGAGACGCTCTGGCCCTGGGCGACGCCCGGGCCCGGCGCCACGCGGGCGTCACGCAGGGCGCCGCGCAGCTCCTCGCTCAGCTGGTGCACGGCGGAGCCCCCGCGGCCAGCTGCAGCATGTAGAGCCCCGTGTCGGGGTCGAGCACGCAGCGGCGCAGCAGCTGCACGTACGTGAGGTTCTCGTGCGTGTTGGGGTCGAAGAAGCCCTTGGTGTCGTCGCTCGGGTCGGCCAGCACGCGGTTCATCTCCTCGTCGAAGTAGCCGCGCTGGTAGGCCACGTCCACGGGCAGCCGGTGGCTGTGCACCGGGTCGATGATGCCGCCCGTGGCGACCTGGGCCTCCAGCAGGCGGATGCCGTGGTCGCGCACGATGAGCTCCTTCTGCATGGCCTGGAAGAGCGAGATCTGCTCGCCGGTGTAGGGGTCGGTGTAGCCGGTGACGGCGCGCTCGGCCGACAGCAGCTTGTCCTGGATCTCGCCGCCCACCAGGCCCGCGGCCACCGCCTCCTCCACGGTGAGCCCCTGGTTGCGCACGGGGTCGATGAGGAAGCCCGTGGCCGCCTGCGCCTCGAGCAGCACCAGGGCCGTGCCGGGCCGCAGGACGCCCTTCCACATGGCCTGGTAGACGCTCATCTTCTCCTGCCGCCCGGGCTCGTCCTTGGCGGGCACCAGCACGCCCGCGATGCAGCTCGTGCCGCGCAGGTAGCGCTTGACCGAGTCCATCTCGGTCACCTCCTGCGGGGTCTTGGTGCCCTGGGCCAGGTCGCGCAGGGTCTCGGGGCCCAGGATCCCGGACGAGCGCAGCTCGGAGGCCGACACCTGGCGCCGCAGGCCGCGGAAGGTCACCTTGCTCAGCCGCTCCTCCGCCTCCTCCACCGCCCGGGTGAGGATGGCCACCAGGCCCGGCAGCGCCAGGGCGCCGGCCGCGTGCTGGGCCAGGAGCTCGTCCCGCCGGGCCCGGCTCAGGTAGGAGGAGAAGAGGACGTCCCACACGGAGGGCCGCTGCCCGCGCAACGGCCCGGCCTGCACCTCCATGGTGGCGGCACGCAGGGCCTGCTCCTGGGGGCCGCCGGCGGGCTCGGTGGCCGCCTCGCCGGGGGAGGGTCCCGCGCCCCTGCCGCCGTCGCTGCCGCCGGGCCCGGCCGGCCGCGGCTCCTGCTGGACGCCGGCGGCGTCGCCCGGGGCGCGCTCGGGCCCGCCGGCCGCCTCCACCTCCTCGATGATGGTGGTCAGCCTGCGGGTCAGCGCGGCCAAGCCCAGCGCCCCCGAGCCGAACCCGGCCAGCAGCTGCTCCCGCGTGGCGCCGCTCACGTAGCTGGACGCCAGCACGTCCCACACGGGCACCGCCGGCCCCCGCAGGCGGCCCAGCTTGACCTCCATGGTGGCGGCACGCAGGGCCCCTCGGGGGTCCGGGGGGCGCGCGCCCGGGCTCGCGGGGTCGCGACGGGCCAGCAGCGCGGTGAGGGCGGCGCCCACCTCGTGCGCGGTCAGCGAGCCCGCCCGGTACCTGCGCAGCAGGTCCTGCCGCTCGCCCTCGGGCACCTCCCGGTAGAAGAGGAGCTCCCAGACCGAGACGCTCTGGCCCTGGGCGACGCCCGGGCCCGGCGCCACGCGGGCGTCACGCAGGGCGCCGCGCAGCTCCTCGCTCAGCTGGTGCACGGCGGAGCCCCCGCGGCCAGCTGCAGCATGTAGAGCCCCGTGTCGGGGTCGAGCACGCAGCGGCGCAGCAGCTGCACGTACGTGAGGTTCTCGTGCGTGTTGGGGTCGAAGAAGCCCTTGGTGTCGTCGCTCGGGTCGGCCAGCACGCGGTTCATCTCCTCGTCGAAGTAGCCGCGCTGGTAGGCCACGTCCACGGGCAGCCGGTGGCTGTGCACCGGGTCGATGATGCCGCCCGTGGCGACCTGGGCCTCCAGCAGGCGGATGCCGTGGTCGCGCACGATGAGCTCCTTCTGCATGGCCTGGAAGAGCGAGATCTGCTCGCCGGTGTAGGGGTCGGTGTAGCCGGTGACGGCGCGCTCGGCCGACAGCAGCTTGTCCTGGATCTCGCCGCCCACCAGGCCCGCGGCCACCGCCTCCTCCACGGTGAGCCCCTGGTTGCGCACGGGGTCGATGAGGAAGCCCGTGGCCGCCTGCGCCTCGAGCAGCACCAGGGCCGTGCCGGGCCGCAGGACGCCCTTCCACATGGCCTGGTAGACGCTCATCTTCTCCTGCCGCCCGGGCTCGTCCTTGGCGGGCACCAGCACGCCCGCGATGCAGCTCGTGCCGCGCAGGTAGCGCTTGACCGAGTCCATCTCGGTCACCTCCTGCGGGGTCTTGGTGCCCTGGGCCAGGTCGCGCAGGGTCTCGGGGCCCAGGATCCCGGACGAGCGCAGCTCGGAGGCCGACACCTGGCGCCGCAGGCCGCGGAAGGTCACCTTGCTCAGCCGCTCCTCCGCCTCCTCCACCGCCCGGGTGAGGATGGCCACCAGGCCCGGCAGCGCCAGGGCGCCGGCCGCGTGCTGGGCCAGGAGCTCGTCCCGCCGGGCCCGGCTCAGGTAGGAGGAGAAGAGGACGTCCCACACGGAGGGCCGCTGCCCGCGCAACGGCCCGGCCTGCACCTCCATGGTGGCGGCACGCAGGGCCTGCTCCTGGGGGCCGCCGGCGGGCTCGGTGGCCGCCTCGCCGGGGGAGGGTCCCGCGCCCCTGCCGCCGTCGCTGCCGCCGGGCCCGGCCGGCCGCGGCTCCTGCTGGACGCCGGCGGCGTCGCCCGGGGCGCGCTCGGGCCCGCCGGCCGCCTCCACCTCCTCGATGATGGTGGTCAGCCTGCGGGTCAGCGCGGCCAAGCCCAGCGCCCCCGAGCCGAACCCGGCCAGCAGCTGCTCCCGCGTGGCGCCGCTCACGTAGCTGGACGCCAGCACGTCCCACACGGGCACCGCCGGCCCCCGCAGGCGGCCCAGCTTGACCTCCATGGTGGCGGCACGCAGGGCCCCTCGGGGGTCCGGGGGGCGCGCGCCCGGGCTCGCGGGGTCGCGACGGGCCAGCAGCGCGGTGAGGGCGGCGCCCACCTCGTGCGCGGTCAGCGAGCCCGCCCGGTACCTGCGCAGCAGGTCCTGCCGCTCGCCCTCGGGCACCTCCCGGTAGAAGAGGAGCTCCCAGACCGAGACGCTCTGGCCCTGGGCGACGCCCGGGCCCGGCGCCACGCGGGCGTCACGCAGGGCGCCGCGCAGCTCCTCGCTCAGCTGGTGCACGGCGGAGCCCCCCGCGGCCAGCTGCAGCATGTAGAGCCCCGTGTCGGGGTCGAGCACGCAGCGGCGCAGCAGCTGCACGTACGTGAGGTTCTCGTGCGTGTTGGGGTCGAAGAAGCCCTTGGTGTCGTCGCTCGGGTCGGCCAGCACGCGGTTCATCTCCTCGTCGAAGTAGCCGCGCTGGTAGGCCACGTCCACGGGCAGCCGGTGGCTGTGCACCGGGTCGATGATGCCGCCCGTGGCGACCTGGGCCTCCAGCAGGCGGATGCCGTGGTCGCGCACGATGAGCTCCTTCTGCATGGCCTGGAAGAGCGAGATCTGCTCGCCGGTGTAGGGGTCGGTGTAGCCGGTGACGGCGCGCTCGGCCGACAGCAGCTTGTCCTGGATCTCGCCGCCCACCAGGCCCGCGGCCACCGCCTCCTCCACGGTGAGCCCCTGGTTGCGCACGGGGTCGATGAGGAAGCCCGTGGCCGCCTGCGCCTCGAGCAGCACCAGGGCCGTGCCGGGCCGCAGGACGCCCTTCCACATGGCCTGGTAGACGCTCATCTTCTCCTGCCGCCCGGGCTCGTCCTTGGCGGGCACCAGCACGCCCGCGATGCAGCTCGTGCCGCGCAGGTAGCGCTTGACCGAGTCCATCTCGGTCACCTCCTGCGGGGTCTTGGTGCCCTGGGCCAGGTCGCGCAGGGTCTCGGGGCCCAGGATCCCGGACGAGCGCAGCTCGGAGGCCGACACCTGGCGCCGCAGGCCGCGGAAGGTCACCTTGCTCAGCCGCTCCTCCGCCTCCTCCACCGCCCGGGTGAGGATGGCCACCAGGCCCGGCAGCGCCAGGGCGCCGGCCGCGTGCTGGGCCAGGAGCTCGTCCCGCCGGGCCCGGCTCAGGTAGGAGGAGAAGAGGACGTCCCACACGGAGGGCCGCTGCCCGCGCAACGGCCCGGCCTGCACCTCCATGGTGGCGGCACGCAGGGCCTGCTCCTGGGGGCCGCCGGCGGGCTCGGTGGCCGCCTCGCCGGGGGAGGGTCCCGCGCCCCTGCCGCCGTCGCTGCCGCCGGGCCCGGCCGGCCGCGGCTCCTGCTGGACGCCGGCGGCGTCGCCCGGGGCGCGCTCGGGCCCGCCGGCCGCCTCCACCTCCTCGATGATGGTGGTCAGCCTGCGGGTCAGCGCGGCCAAGCCCAGCGCCCCCGAGCCGAACCCGGCCAGCAGCTGCTCCCGCGTGGCGCCGCTCACGTAGCTGGACGCCAGCACGTCCCACACGGGCACCGCCGGCCCCGCAGGCGGCCCAGCTTGACCTCCATGGTGGCGGCACGCAGGGCCCCTCGGGGGTCCGGGGGGCGCGCGCCCGGGCTCGCGGGGTCGCGACGGGCCAGCAGCGCGGTGAGGGCGGCGCCCACCTCGTGCGCGGTCAGCGAGCCCGCCCGGTACCTGCGCAGCAGGTCCTGCCGCTCGCCCTCGGGCACCTCCCGGTAGAAGAGGAGCTCCCAGACCGAGACGCTCTGGCCCTGGGCGACGCCCGGGCCCGGCGCCACGCGGGCGTCACGCAGGGCGCCGCGCAGCTCCTCGCTCAGCTGGTGCACGGCGGAGCCCCCGCGGCCAGCTGCAGCATGTAGAGCCCCGTGTCGGGGTCGAGCACGCAGCGGCGCAGCAGCTGCACGTAC